TAAAAATATTTTTTATTGGAATTTCTTTCTTCTTTTTCTTTAGAATTTCTATTATATTTATTAGAAAAACTAAAGTTGAATTTGTGGTTGTTTAGTGACATAATTTTATTCATAAACTTATTTTTTTTTACAGTTAGTTGTAAAACTGCAGAAGAAAGGTGAAGGTCCACCAGGCCGTGAACCTGTTATGACGGAGACGACGAACGAAGAATTTGATGGTATATGCTTATCGAAAACAGGAGGAAGCTAAGGTAGGATTTTTCAATTATATTTATAAATTTTTATGATTTTAATCTTTTCGTGTCATTTATTGTTATTGACTGGATAGTTATTAAGTTTTTTTGTGAGTAACTTAAAAGTCTTCTATTTCTATAATCTAAAATATTGTGATGAATTTAGTTTCATTCTTATAGTCCCTACAAATTTTCTACTACTTTCTATTGTATTGAAAAAGATTATAAAATTATTTTTGGATAATATTGAAAATAGTCAGAGCAAATTTAAATCATGGTTTGAAAAATCAGTATCTTGAGATTATATAATATTATATTTATAAACGCATATATAATATTATATAATCAGAACTAGACTTTTCTTATAAATTGTAGTAATCATCCACCTTCCAAGACCCTCTATTGCATTCATATGCAAAATTTCGTAACTTTTACGTTATAAAAATATTGCAATTTTATTTATATTTTACTTTAACGTCTATCACAAACACAATATGTGTTATTGTTGAAAGCTTTCATGGCTTTGAAATGTGAAATCATGTGTAAAAAATTATTTTGGGCAATTTCGGCGTTTTATTGTTTACACGGTACGACATTGAGTGACATGCATGGATTTTTATTGAAGCATAAAATGTACAACGACTGGCTGCTTTTTATGGATTCTAGTACTTTTAACATGACAGTGTTTAGAGCTTTTGCGTGTATAATGTGTAAGATTGTGCTTACCATTTTTATTATTCTTATCACGGTAACTTCTTTGAAACATTTTATTAGGCTACATAACTTTGGGACACGTTTCGAGTTGAAGTACAAATAGTCATGATGATGAATGCTTATTAATATCAGCTATTTGTGAATTGTAAAAACAATTTTACTTTTAAAATTTATATGATGGATATAGATATTTATGAAGGTCAATTAGCATACATTCTTTCCAATCTAATGTTATATATATATATAAATAACAGTTTTAAAAATGTATTACGCCAAAGGCTTGGAAAGTATTTCTGTTCAGATTACGGTTTCTCGTCAAGAAAATGAGTTCAATCTGATACTACCTGGTTTTATTTCTTATCTTGTTAGAAAACGTGGTATTGGCAGCTATCATTCATTTTAACGTTGAATAATATTCGACATATTTTCTTTAAATTTTCTTCTTATGCTCTCACTCACGAGTTCAAGTTACAATTTCTCATCGTAAATAATGATTATTAATCATAGTTCAAACTGATATTGTCTATTATTATTTCTTAACTTGTTAGACAACATAATATTGACATCTAGTATTACATTTAAAATTGAGAAATATTCGATACATTCTGTAAATTTTCTAGTTTTTTATGGTATCACTCACGTCCTAATTTATTCACGTCAGCCATGTACTACATTGTGTTGGCGGATTTTCACCGAATTGTACCTGGCACCAGAGGATTCGATATTGCACGTGAAATCCTTGTCACGAAAACTGTATCTATTACGGGATTAATTTTTTGTGATTTTACTCGAATGTTCTTTTTTTCAAGCATGATTTTAGCTTTTGAAATCTATGCAATAATTTTAGCTATTGGAATCTGTGCAACAATTTTAGCTAATAAAAGCTATTTATGACACACTTTTTTCTGTATTACATTTTATTAAATTTTGTCTTTTTCGAAGTTTCAAGACAATCTGAATTGTTTGTCACTAAACTTGTAACGTAGTGTATGTATATGTGGGACTAAGTTTGACCTTTCGTCGACGTTTTCTCAAAAACCTATCAACCAATTTAAATGTTATTCGAAGAAATTCAATAAGGACATACGATGCATAAAAATGCAAAACTTTTTGTACAGGCATTGGTCATGAATTCTGTAACGATTTTAAAAACTCAAAAGCTTTATCAAATATATATACGAGTATGGGGTGTCGATTAATTTTTGGAAAAGATAAGACCCGCCATTCCTTTGTAATTAATTATTCAAATTTTTTATGACGACTTTGACTAAATGTTGTATGATGAAAAGATTTTTAATCTAAACATATAATCATAAATTATTATAGGCATATAAAAAGTAGTGAATGTTTATTATAAACATTTGTCGAACTTTAGAATAATGGATCGTGCCAAAATTTCAAAATCATTTCGTCACAATTCTATTTCCTATATAAAGCTAAATCTTAATTCTTATTGATTAAATAATCGACATATATTTACTTATATTTTGACGTTTTTGAAACTGATATTTTTGGCAATATTTAAAATTGACTAGATGCAATATAATTTTTTTTAAGAAGTTTACGAGTAATTTCACAACTCGTATATGCATCTTATTGCGTTTAAAAATATCTTATACCCTAGAACAAGCAATCTCAATATATTTTTGTGTTGTCATATGAATATCCATTAAAAACACTATTTTATTTTACTTTATATTTAACTTAATATTACATCGAATATTGAAGAGTTACAACAAATTATATATCTACTAAAAATATAGACATTTATATATATTTTTAATTACACTTAGGGAAATTTTACATACTCCACAATATTTTCTGAAAAGTATATTAGAATTTAGAATACTTTGGTCAGAAACGTTTAGGCATTCTTCTCAAAAAATATGGTGAATTTTGACTTAAGATTATTACATAAAGGCAGACATGGATTGGTACAAATGTAATATATATGTTGATAAATTACGTTTACGTTAATACACTCAAACATTATTCTATTTCATTTGCTTATAGTCATTTAGCTTTAATTTTCATGCAACGAGTTAACTTATATAGAATTAATATCAGTAATCTATATTATTTATATTAATTGGTCATTTTTGTATTGATACATATATGCATATTAGGATATATAGAAAATAGTTTTGATAAATTCTTTCTGATAGAATACATTTATATCGAATTCTGAAGTTATAAACGGGTAAGAATAATTAGTACTAATTTCTTTTTTGATAAAGAGATATTTTATTTGTCGATTATTCTGTATTTCCATATTTCTAAATAATGTTTTACAGTCATAGTTTATTCATTCATTATTCATATTATCATTACCATAATTATCATTTGCAACATAGATAAATAATATATAGATGAATACATAGGTAAATATTTCGTAGAACTATATTTAAGAACTATTATATAATTAGAGAGCCTAAAATATGGCCTTGTGAAAATGTACACAAATTCAATTTTACTTAGATATGTTCTTATATATAAGGAACATATTTGAATAAATGGGACAGTCCATAGACTTAATTAAAACGCTTGTAATTTTACATAATTTTGTAAAGTTGGTGCAAAAGGTATGTTGCGTGTTACCTAAGTAAATTATATCATAATGTTTGTTTTTATGAAATTACATGGGTACATTTTCTTATTTTCTTTTAATTTATGAAGCCAGTATTCGAACCTAAACCGACTCTGTTGTCATTCATCCTAATTGGGATACGACACGCATGGTTCAAATATAATTAATAGTAAATCCATACTCATGCATCCATTTTACCAGAATAATAAATTATTTATTATATGAGGTGAATGAAAAATGAATAATTCAGTCGTTTCATTTATAAATGCATTTATGGAGAAATTTTGGAATGCATTCAGTCATATTTACAAAAATATTTTATTCTAAACTATAATCTATTATAGATAATATTATTAAAAATTGATCAGATGCAAATTTAGCACATTTAATATATATAGTCTTAAGTGTGAGCACATGGAAAGGCCAGCACATTAATTTATAAGCATTTTTGGTTGCCTTTTATGACAGATACCAAGTAATCTATAGTATATTTTTAATAATTACTAGTTCATTTTAAATTAACTTTTTTTATTTTTATGCTTTTTTATATATGTTTGATTTATTTTTTAAAAATAATTATTTTGAATATATAGAGTTATCATAATTATTTGTTGTAGAGAGATATAATGCAATTCAAATTAAAAGTAATAATTCAATTATACGATATATTCATAACATTTTTTGTTAATTAACCAATTAAACACTACGATGGTGAGATTAGTGCATACAATCGTTTATTACCATGTTAAAATTCGCCATATTTCGCTTCAATCATATCAATCTTTGAAATATGTGAAAATTTTATTGTTCTGCAAAATTAACTATTTGGGCTTTTGACACACTATAAGCAAATTTGGAAGCATTTTATTAGTTTGATTGCTCAAAATAAATGAAATATTATATTCCAATCAAGTAGGCGAAAAAAACGTTTCTAAGTTAGAAAAAAATCAAAAACATATGTTGTTTATTAAATGGAATTCTGCTCATTGTTACAATTAATTGGGTAAATTCTAAATAATTAATCAATAAATTTCAAGTTAAGTTATGCAGATATAATATTTATGTCACCAATTAAACATAATGATTGCTATATTGAGCTCTATTCCTTTTGTTAATGCATAATTCTTCTTTACATAATTTATAGAATGCAATTAAACATATGTCAGTGTATAAAGTTGTATAATCTTTGATATGATGAGATATTTGCTCTGCGAATTAAACTACAAGCAAACTTTGGAATGCTGAACATTTATTCTATTTGCATGTATTGAGTAGTTCTCAAGTTATCCATTTTCATAAAATAAATTAAAGAAGTAATATTGTAATTCAAGTTTGTTTTGTTACTCTTAACTTTCTATAACAATCGTATAATTTTGATATAAATTTTGTATCATAAAATTAAATAATTATATTATACTATACACACAATAATTTTCAATTATATCATAAAATAATTTTTAAGTATATTACTTGTCTTTAACTTTCACCAAAGGTCTGTCATCTCCGCCAATGCCTTCACTAGTTTCAGTGCTTGGTGATAATGGCATGACAGCAACTATACCTTGCAAATCCATATCTTCTTCTAATATCTTAGAACCATTTCTTGGTTCAACAACTCCACCGACAGCACCTTCTTCTTCTTCTGATTCTTCTTCTGGTAATTCTTTAGCATTGGAAGTTTCTTGTTGAATTCCCAATCCGATATCTAAATCTTCCGGTGGAGACTCTTCGGCACCTGTCGTATCTCTACAACAACGGCAACGCATTTTTGCATCGTCTCCCACCTGTATGTAAAAAAATTGTTTGAAATTTATATAACAAAATGTTTGTAGTATTTAAAACATACTCGGAACACGCGATGATATTTTGAATTTTCTAAGCTTCTATAAACATTTCCTATTATGGTTGATAATAATAATAAAATGCAATAAGTTCATTATAATAAGTTTTGAAAACAATTTGAGAAAACAGACCTTGATTTTAAATCATTTTGTTAAATGTACTAAAGCAAGTTTATTTGTAACAACATATCATATTAAAAAAAAGTTTACTATTCAATAAGTTCCATGAAAATATTTTATTTCCGTATAATATTAATATTTTCTAGAAAATGATTTTAAACACTTTTAATTATATGCCAATTTCAAATATTTTAATTACACTAGCAGATTTTTTAATTAAAATTAAACTTTCATTAGCGCTATTTCTTCGAGTTAAGTTAAATATTATTAACAATTTTACGTAAAATACACTTGCAAATATAGTTCCTTGTAGTATTTTACTGAACACAAAAAGTTTTTTTTTAACCACATGTAGATACGATGTTTTTATGTACACGGCTATAAAAATATTTTTTATGATAGGAACGAGGCGAATATTAATATTCTATGAAAATGCACTGTTTATGAATGTTAGTATTTTTTTTACTTACTTTGAAATTTAGTTAAAAAAAATTATCTTCAAAAATATATAAATAAATAAAAGCGCATGTTTAATAAATATTAGGTATTTATATATTCCATAAAAATATAAAAAAAATGAAATCATTGAATAATATTTACAAATCTACGTTGACAATTTTTGTAATTAATTTTTGTAATTAGCTAGTTCTTAATTTTTTATATTAAAGTTACAAGTGTAAGAATATAATTATGTTGGAATGAGTGATAAACAAGTCTTTCACAAAAATATGTTTGTACTTTAACTTTTAATTTTTAACCTAATAATTTAAGGAAAATATTCATATGATCAATATACCAGGCAATCAATCAATAATTTTATACTCAAATATTGGCGTACAAAATTTGAAAAACTCTATCAAAGATTTTCTTGAAATTTGCATCAGATTAAATAGTAATTTTAATATTTTTAACACTAATAGTATATTTACAATTTTATATTGCAATTTTGGTATGATTTAGATTATTCCATAGTTGTTCTTAGAACAAGAAATATTTCTTCTCAAACAACATTTGAGAAAATTTTGATGTATTTTTAAGGAAAAATGTTTGAATATGTAATACCTTCACTGAATTAGTAATTATGCAGAGAGTAGTAAAAGATATCACAAACAAAACTGTGGGAACCACAACAGCTATCATCAAATACCTCCATGTTTTATCTAGGTCAAAACGAGCTACAACATACGTTACATTCGGATTCTGAAAAAATAAATCGAATTTATTTATAAAGCACATGAAAAATTATATTATAATATTAACACTACATCGACGACTAATTATTGAGACAGGTATTAAGAATCTGTTTAGTTGTCTAATGATGGGTTTGCAAGCAAGATTCAGAATGAATGTGATGAAGGTTTGCAAAACAGCATGAAATTTAATTCGATAAAATTATTTTAATTGTTATCACCAAACAAAATTGAGAGAATGATATATTACCAAAGCTTAACCATTGACCGTAAATGGTTAAAAACCAACCAAAAAATAATTTATCACCATTGACAATAAATGGCTCAGAAGAAAGCAACATTTTTCTTTTTTGGCAGGGAATTTACTTGTATTTCACCCTGAAATCGCATTAGCCTAGTCCTATTTGAAAATTGATAGTACGTGTCTTTTCACATTTCATCAGTTTATTTGTCATGCTTCGTTTTTTTTGTAAAGAAAAAGTAATATGTTCAAGCCACGAAAGAAATAATGTATTTGAAGAAAATGTGTGAAGGAAAAAATATCATATAGTCAAAATTAGTTTGCAAATACTTTATTCGGAATTTTGATGCCATATCAATTATTTGTGAGAATCTAATTAATGAAAAATAGGCAATAAGCAAAATCGATGAAAGGTCGAAAAACTTAAATCGAGAATTGCTAAGTCGTTGAAATTAGTTAATCGGGCGGTACAGTTTTCTTTAACTCCGATCAGTTCATTATATTCCAAAATTGCAATAACGATGAATTTGAACAAAAAACTATTTAAATAAAATATCATTTAATTTTTTTATTACCTTGTTGTAATAGCATGGATATCTAGACTGAGCTGTCTGGTTGTCTCCATCACTTCCATGTGATGCCAAAAATTCCAAGCATTCACCTCGTAGAGTGTTAACACAGCCTTCTAAATTAATAAGTATTTTTTTCGATTGATATATGGTTAGGGCACTCTGCTTTGGTAAAAATCTATGATCTGGATCTACTTCAATACGACTATTGTTATATAAACTCCAAAACGTCGTGAAATTTATAGTAGGGCGTCCGATTAATGACGGTTCGAGCAGGGTCCCATTTAAACAATCGCTTCCTCTGAAAACATAAAAAATATAAAAAATCATATACAAATTGATATATATATATATATATATAGGTATTTTATATTATCTACCTGAGTTGATTAACAGTTCTCGTTATGGAATGACAAGAAGCCAACAATGCTCCACTTCCAGACGTATCGTTCCATATCTCGGTGGGTTCTATAGGACCTCCAGGATCTGGTCCATTCGACTCACTTAATGCAATCGCTCGAGAACATTCGGCACTGTATAAATTATCTTCGAACATCAAGAATGTGTTTTGGGAAAATGTTGATATCCTGGGACAATAGCGATCGCAATGAAAAGGCCTTTTGATTTTAACGCAACGTGAACCTACGGAGATAACAATTAGAGATTAATCTATTAGCTAAATGTTTTTGAAGTAAAACTTCTTTAGATGCGACTAGGGTGTAAATCCGTGCAAATGCAACGGATGTCCGTTACGCCCGAACTGTTAGTCATTCGCTCTTGATGAGATCATTTTTATACGAGTCGACTGTGATTAGTCGTCGTGTATGTGAATAGAGATCTGTCGTTGTATGCGTACCGGCATCAACGTTGTATGCCGGTACGCACTCTTTTTTATTTTGGCTAATTTATTAAATTATTGGTTTTAAAAAACTTCATTTCCTCAGATTTTTTTTACTTCAAATGCTATATAATGATATTAATCTCCTTTCTACTTTTTGCATAATAAAATCGAAATTTTAGGATTCTTTATGGATTATAGTTTATGGATCTTACCTACACATTCGAAAAATCCGTTTAATTTCATGTTGTCCTTTTCGCTGTCGACTACAATTCCATCTGCCTTATGGTGACATAAATATAATTCAGATAAGTTGGCGCAGTGTCCAAGAGAACAATTAAAGACACCATGCAAGGAAGCGCATTCCGAACCGTTGTTGCAATTGTACCTTTTTAGGGCTCCAGTGTCCACCTGCAACAGTAAAAAATTAATAGATTCAATGAAAATAAGGATCATAAAGTCTGCATAATTATGTCTGTAATAGGCAATAAGATGTTTTTAAATACAAAATGGATATGTTATAGTAATGGTCAAAAAATCTAAAATTAGAATTTTACATATCTTCACGTTTCAGAGGTTTTTGAATACAATTTTTCGTCGATATTTTCGGGTGACCGCTCAACCGATTTGAATTATTCAAAAAGCAATAGATTTCTAGATTTTTTTGAGAAATGTCGGTCTAGCCGTTTCGCAGATACGGAGCTAAATGTGCAAAAAATTGCAGTTTCAGAGAGAACTGAGCATCAGATTTGAATGATTCAAAAAATATTCTGCTTATGTTAACAAAGTAATTGCTATAATTGCTTTTCCAAAATTAAAAAAAAATGAGATAAGGTCCTTTAATATTAACTTTAAGTTTCGTTTATTTACTTTGCTACTTGTGAACATATATAACGTTGTCGTCAAATTTATAATCTCTTACATTTCGTTTATAAAATAAAAATAATTAAAGTTACAATATTTATAATAATTTATTTGAAAACATTTAATATTTTTCAAGTATTTCCTTACTGTACGAGAAGTTTCAACAATTTGCCTTAAGGTACGATGCCCTACATCACTATTTTCATTTTTATTTTTCAAGTGATTTAAAATTATTTATTTGGTACGAAAGATACGAAGGGTACTAGTTTTTGGGAAAAAGTTGTTCGAGTTTTTGCGGTCTCAATTTGTACATACATGTGTAATTAGTTCGAAGTAATATACACAGTAGTATGTATAACTTTTCTTAAATATTTTTATTTTTATATAATTCGAAAAATATTTAAATCTTAAGCTCAGTTTAATTTCTTCTCCTGATTTAGTTAAGCCATAGTTGAATTATTTTTCGAATATAGAAAATTCTGATATTGATTAGACATTATAATTTATCTAGTTTATGCCAACAGCAACAATGCACTGCCGGTTAGCTAAAGATATGTTTCACAATATTTAGAGATATTAGAATTTTTAATAATGAGTGCATATCATAAAAATTCAGCCAATTTTAATTAACTGAAAATGCATCTTTTTGGCAGTGTGAAGTATTACAATGCATTAGTAGTACTGCTTCTATAATTATCCTCGGCGTTTCACATTATTTATATAAATATTTTATTACATTTGCATAGGAAACTCTAAGCGTAATAGCATCACATTTCCTGACACTGTAATTTCTGTTTTAGAATTACATGGTGTATAGATAAATACTTTAAAGTCAAGGCAGGAATATTATAAAGCACAAATGCAAAGCATCGTTAAAACCTTTGACATTGTGTTTTTGATACAAAACGAGTTTTAAATATTGTCACGTTTAAAAATCAATATATTTTATTGACGCTTCACTGGATATATGAATATCTAACATTTGCTTTTCACATTTTCATTTGAGAATCAAAAATATTTATAAAAATCTTGATATGCTTAAATATTTCTTATTCAACGTAGTAATAATAGTAATGTTATCAATAACATATTGCTAAATGTTGCTAATTTAAAAACTAGTATAACGTTTAGATTTTACAAATTGGGTTCTTTCAGCCGTTGATATATTTCGTAATTCTCGTCATAGTATTTTCTTGCTATTTGTATGCTAAATCTGTTATTAAAATATTTTATTCCAAACTAAATATTTTGTTCTATAAAATAAAGCTCATTGATATAGTTCAGTAAATCATCTACACAAATTCTGCAAATAATTCTTTCAAATTTTTAGACTTTTCTCATCTGCAATGCAAACAATTTAATTAACTCTCTTTAACAGGATATAAACTAAATGTTACAGGTAGTAAAATTACATTTTAAAATAATCATTAATCTGAATTAGATTTGACGTACTTTTATTTATAGTTATTTTAGGATTAGGAGTTCTAAACTAATGTTGCTCATTATGAATTCAGACCAATCACCATTTTCTTCTTATCTGTTATATAATTACTGATTTTGATCTTAATTTCTATCAAGCATAATCGAACAGAATAATCAGAATCCTTTGTGTACAGAATGAGTGGTTTGAAGTAAAATGAATCAGAGTATACAATACAATATAGATACTGCATTGAATGGTTTTTATACAATCGAAACACGCGATGTTTGAATTAAAACGGACATTATAATTTTCTACATAATTCAGTATCAGTAGGTCACAAAAAATAACTCCGGTCTTAATATATTTAAAGTTGAACTGATTTTTGTATCATACGAGCCATGCAAATTGCCTCAAGGCAAAGTGGGACTTACACCTATTTTTTTAAAAATATTTTTATGAAAATCATATTTATTATCGGGTAACTTTATAGTTTGGACAAAAATAATTTGTAGACTAGTTCATTAAGATAACTTTAATTTTTGATAATAATTTCCATGATTTTTTATAGTTATTATTTTATATTCAATTTAACAATTATAATGTTTTAAACCAGCATATATGAATGTTTATATGTATTATATGTTCAGGCTTCGTTAAAAACAAAGTATCTAATCTTATTTAATATAAATTTATAGGTGGTTTATTAAGTAATTATAGTGTTTGCTTTACTTTAATGATACTTTATTTGTTTGCATTAATTGCGTTGAAGAAGTTTGTTCAAATTAAAGTAATCAGGCGATACCTCAGCAAATAGATCGCTTGAACTTAATTACATTATTTCTTTAATATATTTTAGCATCACATATAAAACTTTGTTTTTGAAATATATATATATAAAATTTATATTTATCAAGTGAAAGTACTTTTATTATGGAAATATACGGATGGATTTCATAAAAATTAAGAACTTAAAATGAAAATATTTTAATAGGTAAAGAAACTCACAGTTCAGATGTAATTCCCTATTTATTCACATAATGGCGTCTTCAGAAAACAGTAGTATTAAAAAAAGTTTCTTATTAAAGTTCATACTATTTATTGTTATCCAAAGGAATTAATTGTTATTTCAATATATATCTAATATTGAATGAAAACCACAATGATATTGAATCGATATGTGTAGAGTATTAGATATTTTGCGTCCCCGTTATTTTTCCCTCGATAAACAAGACCGCACCTTGTTATTTGTCGAGCATAATACATCCATCAAATGTCCGTTTTTAATGAAGCCGCTTCCAATTAACTAATTATAGATTATACAAACACACACCATGATGTCGATGTCATTGGTATAAATCATTGGTACTCAAAATTTCTCCAGCAAAAATATTTAGCATTTTTACAGTTGCGGAAGTTTAAGATATGTTTTAGTTATAACATGAGGTAAAAATCATAAATTTTGAACTTTATATTTATTTCGTTATGCATTTACGTAATATGTTATTGAATTTATCTATCTAAAATTCTAAAATCATTATATACAATACTTAGGTATGTCGTATTATAAGTTCTAAGCTATATATTATTATAATAAATATTGCTTTGATTTGTTTAAATGCATGACATAAGAGTGGCTTTAATTGCTAAAAAATGGTATTACAAGTATGACTACTTCTTTTCCAAATTCATTAGATTTTGCATAAGCACTAATAATCTAATTAATTTTTTGTAAGCCAGTAATATTCTCTACTTTATAAACATCAGATTTATATCAATATTTTACGTTAAAAAATGTTATAAATTATGGATTTTATTTTATTCAATCAATGGCTAATTAAATTCAATTAATCGTGAAATGTTACAACTGATTTCATTAGTAATTTGTTCCAAATACTACAAAAAATAATTTAATTTTCTTCTGATCTAGTTCTTTACTTTCTTTGTTCAGCAGATTGTTGGTTACAGAACCATTGATATAGACGCTTTTATAAATTGCATATCCAATTAAGGCAACATTTCTTGCTTCAAATGATTATAATTGGAAAAGTTGTTTTATAAAATTAAAAGGTAAATATATCCATAACAAACACCATTTTTGTTCGATGATATACTTTCTGGATTTACTTGAATAATATCGGACAATCTTTCAAAACGAATAGTAGACATTTTGATGGTAATATGATATAACAGATTATTATTATACCTCATCGCTCATCGGTATGTAATTTGGTATTATGTCAGTGTATATACATGTCGAAACTTTTTGGGGGAAGATGAATGAAAGAAATTATGTCAACGACAACCATTTTACGACATACACATACATATGCATATTTACATATATGTTTATAAAATATATGTGTGTGTGGTTGTGTATGAATGCGTTGGTATACGGTGGAGACGCCAAGTACATTTCAAACCTGGCTTCCCATGTTTGGTTTGCTGTCGATTTGTCGAACTATTTATGTCACTAAATAATAAGTATGTCATCTTGTACATATTTTTAAGTAATTTCGATATTAGTATTACGCTATTTCCACGACGTTTCTTTTGGCTTTTGCACATGAATCTCCATATATGAATGAAGTGGAAAAACCTCCTTTGAGCACCGGTTGATGGATAGATGGAAAATTTGATATCGCTCTTCTCCAGAATTTCGGCGCTTTCCTATCAGTTATTTGTATACAAACGCATACAACAACACATAATAGATAGCAGGAGTCTTATATTCGAAGTTGCCTGTGGCAATATTATTAGTTTCAGAACATACAAACAGTTTGTTATGACGCGAGGTATCATGTGAACGACAGGTCGATTTATACAAGGTGCATGCTGTCGATCGATATTTAAGCAGATAATGATATAATTATTATATTAATAGTATATTTTATATAAAGCCAAAATAAGTTGGAAAACCTCTTCTATAATAACTTAGACAAAGAAAACAAATTAATTGACGGCAAAAATATTTCTTCAATTCGAACTTCAAATTAAGATTAATTATTATAAAAGTTCAAATTTTATAAACTAGATTCAAATATTGAAACTTTTCATATATATTACCGTTTTCAAACTTTATGCAACTTAGACATTTATTAAATATTAAATTTTATGGCGAATTCTCATTATTTGGAAATGATAAATATTGAGTTAAATATGTAAACTTTTATATTTATCAATAAATTCAGTATGTTTATATCACTAGAAAAATAATTGTTTTAATTTGATAAGTAAAATCGCCTAACAAACTGAAACTTCAAATATCTAAGTACATTTTGAAGATTTCATTTGTGAAGCTAAAATCGTATGCTCAACACCTTCGCGGGCGTGAATGCTATAGTATTCATTTTCAATGCAGAATGATATGAATACTATTGCATTTAAATTTCGAAAGTTCTAAGATTATTTTCAAATTAATTTTATGTAACCTTACTCGTTCTTGTGATTATTATACCTATCAAAGTAGAAACTAACAGATTTCTTATGTACTTTCATATTTTCTTATATTTTTCCGTAGTCACTAATTAGCTTGTGCAAGCAACATTCTGTAAAATTGAAGCGTAATATTTAAAATGGATGCTATAGCATTCATAGTATATAACTATTAAAATAAGGTAATCTGACTACCCTTATAAACGGTGTATAATCAATTTTCCAATATTGCAACTAATTTAAAAATAAAATGAGTGACAACTTTTGTGCCTTGCTGAAACCTTTACTGTCTGTCCGGCAACGTGTTAAGGATGATCAAGAAATTTGAAGTGTGGTAGTTTAAATTATGTGATAAAAAAATAAAAAATAAAATTTTTGAAATAAATGGGAAGGATGATTGGCATGGGGCGGAATAATGCTTGAGTGAATTATGTTGTAAATGTATAAAAGAAAAGAAAGTTTAGTAATAACATTTTGAAAGCTAAACATAGCGGATTTGTCAATATAGGTCAATATAGAATAAAAAATGTAAAATGAAATTATACAAACAATATTATGAATAAAATATCAGAATGGAATATAAACTATAAACATTCAACAAGTTTAGTATTTAATTATTACAATGACTACGATCAATGAATTGAAGGGATGTACATAACTTTTTTTGAAATTTAAAATATGGCACGTGTGGTGATATTATACAGGATGTCGCAGAACCTAAAGTCAAGCCGAGACGGTGTGATAGTATTAATCTTAACTATTCTGAAAAAAAAACAGGAAAAAAGAAATATCTTACGTTGTTTGGAAATTATGAGCTTCTAAGTGCAAGCTAGAACTTTTGTGAAATTATGACCATTCTCCGGTTATCGTGGTATTTTTTTTAAACTTTGATGATTTAAACTTCGAAATCAACAAAGCCAACATTTTACCTAAATTCTATAATAATCTACTCACCTGCGGACAAGAGACGAGTGTTATCCTCGTGCAATTTTCCATGACCAGTTCCGTACCATTTCTTCTAACGATCGCATGAAGCTGCGGACAAAATCCGGAAGTTTTGGTCAGGCACCACTCTCCGCAGCTGGCCCACGTGCACTGACTCAGCGCCATCGTAGCGTTGTGGGTCTGACACATCACGGGGTCCGGCTCGAAGCCCGAATTGAACGCCCGATGAGAGGGCATGTAGATTGCGACAGATAAATAAACTAAGGACACACTGCTTAGAACTAATGTTAATTGGCACAGGCATATGGTGCCGCAGATTCTGCGGTCCTGTTCTGGTATTACACGAGGTTTATATTTTCGAACCATTTTTGTAAAGATAACACCCACAAATTAAAATAAAATTATTACACAAATCCAATCATCAAACCACTGGCGAGTCCAACAAGAAGTGTAAAAAAGTTACGGCCCAATGATCTACCACATAGGAGTATTCCCAATTTGATTGTGTACTTAATGCTCAATTCCACAGTTTATATTATATTATTATAATTCCACAGTTTATAATTTATATTATAATTATTTCTATGATTTGTAATTTTATTTTTATAATATTCTATATATTTATGCATTTAAATTATTTTTTATTATGTATTAGTAAAGTAAAAAAAAATAAAAATGACAAAGTTTCAAAACTCAGCCCGAATAGAATTAATCTCCATATTAAAAACTACACACTTATTCTACACTTCAGTCACTTATTTTATGTTAAATTTGATGAAAACTTCCTGGTTCTTCACAATATTTCCAAAAAATTACACATTTATAATATTTTTTTAAATAATTTAAAATAACGTTTCTGATATTAATATTTGAAAATCATTAGTTTTTTTTTTCAATTCATGAAACTAAAACATGTATGAATATTGTTAATACCCACTGTACAAGTTAGTTATCGTTATTATTTTTATTTTCCAGTTACAACTATATTACTATATTTGTCATTTGTATTTGAAGTAGAAGTACACTTCTACTATTTTATTTATTTATTAAATAAGACTTAACTATATTGTCTTTAAATTTATCAGATGTCAACAAAAACCAGTTGTGACTTATATGGTAGATTTAAAAAAATACTTAAAAGGTACGTCCAGTCCTCGGGTCATCGCGAGTTAACTTATTTTCTCTAGCCCTGACACCGGACTTTCGTTGGTATACCTATTTTGTATACCCAACCTCAGTATTATTGCTGACACAAAAAAATGCAGATTTGCATGATTGCACTAGATCACTCTATAACATCATTTTATCAGATTTCTTTTGTAAGCAACTATTTTATATGATAAAAACTAATTAAAAAAAATAGGTATTTGTCATTATTTCGCAGAATGAAATTATACAAAATATATTATTTCATACTGTTGTTTGCATAAATAATTATTTGTTTTAATAATAACAAAGTTTATATTTTTATTTACGATCTGATTATTTTAAATTTGTAGATCTACATTTTATTTGTATGGATTAAATGTATTTTAGATTTTAACAGGTTTTCAGATACTAGAAGTTACAGCAGGGTGCAAAAATTGATAGTAATTTTATTTTTGAATTGACTGTGAAATCCAAAATTTCATTAAACACAGTTTATAAGGGTAGTCAGATTATCATAGTGTAATCGCTATACACGATATCTGCTGTAGCATCCACATCAAGTATTACGCATTCATTTTAAGCAATGTACTTGCCCAAGCTATTGAGTGACTACGGGAAAAATAAGATAATGCAAAAGTTTCTAAAAAATCAGTCATTATCTTGATAGGTACAATAATTACAATAAAATTAAATAATAAGTCAATAATTCAAAATAAGTGACATTCTGCATCACAAAGATAATAAATGCTATGGCATTCACGTCCGCAAACGTGTTAATTTATATGCATGTTTGTTTTCGATTTTTTTTACTTATTCTATATTGTTGTCACCGAGTATTCTTTAGTCAGTTTAATGTAATACATCTAAAATTAGGTGTATTATTTCTACGATACTTGCTTTTATCTTTATTAATGCATGTATAAATCATTATAAAAGCCCAAATTTAGTATACAAAATCTATTTACGTTCGTCGTCTATTTTATCACTTACTCTTCAAAGCAAATGCTTCTTGATTATTTTTCGATGTGTAGCTTCAAAACGATTTGTAATAGAATTTCGTAAAAGATAAATGTCAGACGCCTTCTTGGTTATATATTCCATAAATACTTCGAGGTAAAACGCTATTTTTAGAAAATGCACTTAATAATTTACGAATATTATTTCTCCCAAACACAGTCTTTTTACAACACTCACCTTCCGAATTTATAATACACGACACTACATTATTTACTGTACTGCCACTACAGAACTTAAGCACATTTATTTATTTTTATCACCATAATAAAATAATATTAGCATATTTTATTCACACAATTACTTTATGAATGCATTTTGCTATATATGTCACCAAAATGATTTATGAATGTTTCTTTGACTTTGTTAAATTTAGTTTTCTGACATTCTTCTGAAGTAATAATTCACGGGATATCTTCTACAATAAATCTCGACCTGAAATATAAATAGTAAAAATTAATAATTAGCCTATTATTTTTAAAGGATAGTTTCAAACATTTCTTTAAATGTTAAGGATAGTTTTTTCTTTATGCTTTGACATTTCGTGAAAACTTATTTTTGGGATATTTACAATATATCGAATTTTTCAGTTAATTAGTTACCATAATTTAATAAAAATTATAGGATGAATTAGTTTGTAGAGACTTAGATATTCACAAAAATGTAAATATATCGTTACAATATAAAAATATTGTAATTTGAAAACTACATTTGAATTAATAGTTTTATTTAGATGGCTTTCACGATAAAAATATCTAATGATTTTCGTATTGAAGGAATATAAAAGTAAAAAAATAATTATTTATTGTGACCAGATAAAAATATATTAATAGGTTAAGAAACTATAATCATAACATGGTTCAGCACATTGAAAGTTTAACCTTCTGTGAATAATTCTACCCGTACATTTCTAAATCGCATCAAGTAGAAAAATGCATCTGAAAAAAGAAATGATATAAAAGTGACGTTTGCCATATTATACTGCATCATTTCTTCTGTTGAAATGCACTCTCTCCATCACCGCAAAGTCGTTTTTTGCGGAAAATAGCCAAGTCGGCGTCTTTCAAACAAATGGAGTATAGCTAGGGATTGAAAAATCATAAAAATATGATTCGAAAATCGAACATGAGGTTATGAATTGCTTTTGGTTGTATATTTTATGATAATCTGGAATCGTTTCAAAATATTGACATTGTAAATCAATGTAGAGTAGTACATGAAAAGCAACAGCTTGATTCATACTTACCTGCTTTGAATATTATTCAATTTTTTTGTATTTTAATTTTGTTGAGATATTGATTTAGTTATTTTTACTTTGGTCATATATTAGAAATTATTAGCTTAAATTATTATTATCTAGTTAATTTTTCCATGAACATAGTTTCTTATTTACTTGCTCTCTATGAACTTATGTGTTTTGTCGGAATCTTACTAATAGTGTTTTATGGACCGGTAGATCTAAATTGTTATGTCACATATCCGGAGCACTTACCATTACCTCATGCTTCACGAAGAAGTATACACCTAAATCTGTTTTTACACGGTCTTTTTGTACACGGTTTTGATATAACACGGTTTGAAAATTTTACACGAATTTATTCCATTTAGCACGATTTGAAATTTCATGTACCTAAATTTTTTTTGTCAAATTAAATTTTTGCGAAGTATGTTCATATCACAAAAAAGTATTTATGAAAGAAAAAAGTCTGAAACCATCGATAGTATCGATAGTTTGCGAACACTAGCTTAAACATTTAAGTGAATTCCCCTTTAGCGCGTACAAACAATTTTTACTGGTCAAAGCAAATGTGAATAGCACTAATTTAATTCTTGTTCTTAAAAATTCTTGTTTTTCACCAATTTTAATAGGTTTTAGAGATCAGGAACAAATCACCCATTTTTGTATAAGATCAATGTCTTTTTTTACACGTTTTTTTTTTTACACGGATTCTTCTGGAACCAATCTCCGTGTAAAAACAGACTTAGGTGTATTACTTTTTCAAATTTAGTTTTGGACTGTTTCTTCTGTTTGGAGGTCATAAGAAAAAAACAACTATTTTTGGAATAAACAACTTTATTTAAACAACTATTACGATTCATGACAAATTGGTTGAAGAAGGCAGATTAGAGCTATATTTTTCATGGTAACGATTGAATTATTATTTTAAAATATTTGTTTATATTGTATTGTATTATATATTTTTTAATTATATCGAAAAAAAAAACTAAGAAACTTTAACTTTTTTTGTAAAAAAAAATCTCAAATAAAATTTTATATCTGACGAATTATGTCTATGGAAATTAGAGGAATATGAAATTTAATAAATAATTACCAACATATTTAGCAATTATAATTACGTATAATTGCTTTTACTAAAAAAAATCGATCCACTTCTTCAAAAATACCTACTACATTGACTTCATTGATTATTAAAAGTTTGAAGCTCATTCAACTAGATATCTTTGAAATCAATTTTGAATTTTTAAAGTTTGAAGATTATTCTATAATCCTGAAGGTTTAAAATAAATTTAGTGGTCACGATCTGTTAAATTTTATTTTTTTCTTGATAATAGCTATAATTATTCAAAATGTAAATTTGCATGATTGCACTAGATCACTCTCATCACTACATTTTATCTTATTTTGTATTTCGGATTTTGTAAACAGCTGTTATATATGATGAAAAGTAAGTAAAATATGCAAACAAGCTTTTGATTGATCTCCTTATTTAAAGAGCACCACTAATGTCTAGTGCTAGTATTGAAAATTTTACACATAGCTCAAGTTTTCAGAAATTTAACTTCATAAAATTCATTCATAGCTTGCTTATTTAATTCTACTATTCACGGTTGGGCTATATATGGATGATATTTTTGATAGCAATGATTATGTGTGAAAATATTGATTTTATTTCTTGAAAAAATGGATTTTTCTATTAATATATTCTAATAATATACTATTCAATAGATTGTATTGTTTTTTTGGCATAATTACTGATTTAAAGTCGATATTTTATTTCATTTGTTTTTGTCTTGCGGTAGTAGGATGCGTCCAATCATTGAATTTGAGTAGGTCTCTAATTTGTTACTCTCTAAATTAAGGAACGCCATTAACAATTTCAGGTCTTTGCAATATCTCTTACATCGATATTTTTTTCTCACCACTAGCTGTAACGCATTTCAAACCTTGCGGCTACACTTTG